TGTCTGTCTGTCTGTCTGAGTGTCTGTCTGTCTGTCTGTCTGTCTGTCTGTCTGTCTGTCTGTCTGTCTGTCTGTCTGTCTGTCATACATTTACAGAGCTAATTTCACACTTGAAATCCTGAGAAATCACGTATCCTCGATCTCTCCAGGAGTATGATAAAAACATAAGAACGTGGGTCGATTTAATTTAAGAACTGTTCACATCTGCCTGCTCTCAAACACACAATGTCTCTCTTTGTTTCACACTAATCCCCCTCTTGCTGTGCGTATTAATGGCCCAGGTTTTTTTTTTTTTTTTGGTTGTTTTTTGGTTCTCTTTTCACCTCCTTTTGCCTTTAAGATGTCCTCTTCTTATAGCTCAGTCAAATCACAAGTGTAGGTTCATGCAAAAAAGCTCGTAGGAAAACTCATTATTCTTTGTTGCTGCTTTCTTGTTTTTGTGTCTGATCTCTGTCCGCTCTGTGGGTTGGCACTGATTTTGATCAGTCGTGTTGAGTTTTACGCACAACTTCAACTTTTTGTGAGTCCTTTATAAGTATGAAGGAGAGTGAGCTTGTTGCTGTAGTTCAGACATATTCTCTCATGTAAAAAAAAAAAAAACAATTTTATCAAAAACAACAAAACTCCTACCGTAAAATAAAGGCTACAGTTGTCTGCTTTTTCCTCTTTTTTTTTTCAGAAATTTAAACAAAAAAATTTCACTGTTATGTTTTCAGCAAATAATCTGTTTATGAAACCCGTTATGTCTACAAATTCTTTGCTTCAAAGAAATGTTGTGGAACGTTTTGATTTAAATCTGCAAATAATCCAATCATTTTTAATTAATGCTGCCATCTACTGGTCACACTGCAGCCTGCAGTCCCACAAACAGTCCAAGTTTTTTACTTTTAGAGATCGATATCTACACTGAGTTATTTCAACTGGATTCACTCAAACCAAACAGTACTCCTCTTTTTTTTTTCTTTTTTTTTTCAGGCAGGAATTAAGACATTTTTCAGTTTTTTTTTTCAGTTGAAAAATCTTTAAATAATACAAAAACACATGGCCGCATGTAGAATAGTGCAGAGTTTGTTGTGTAAATAAGTTGATGTATTGATGACTGAAAGTCCATTAGCTTTAAAGTATCYATTTTACCTAAGAGCATTAATTTCAAAACAACTCATGGTTATTTTCAAAATCTGTCAAGTACTTCATAACAATTTTCTTTTCCGCAGAACTTTGTAAAAATTAATACAAAGAAATACTCGTTATTTTGTGATGCCATAAATACACTAATGGACCTGTTAAGCATAATTTTTATTTATTTACCATCATTTAACCAGGCAAATCCCACTGAGATTGCGATCTCTTTTTTAAAAGAGGCCTGAAAGCAATTCCCATGAAAAAAAAACATCCATCTGGGGGGGAAAAAATCATTGCCCATCTGTGAATTAGAGGATWATTGTCACTCTTTCTGCACGATAAGTGTGAGACATTAAGAGGTGAATAGTTTAGCRGCACTCAACTCGGTTTAGCATCAAACCTGTGATCAGAAGGAAGCAGAAATATGTGCTGGTTGCCTGGCAACATACCCAAAAAGACCAGCGACGACACAAGCATCTCTAAAATTATAGCGTTCTCACATTAGACAAATGAGATTCAACACTGCAGAAGAGATGTTTTATTTATCACTGCATTTTCTAAACCTCACTTCAAACTAAGATCATCTTATAAAAAGCGGGGGAGTTTATTTGTGTTATTCATAATCAATATTATGAGGTCTTGTGAGATSTACCACAACAAATTTTAACTTTACATCCATAAATTGACAGTTAACAGCCATTTGTGTGCTTGCTGAAGTTAGTTAGCTGTGACAGCCATGTTTAACTGGGTTGATTCCAACAGTGAAAGAGCTGTAAATCTACTTCTGATCACGTTTTGTTCCAGTTCATCCAGTGGTTTGTGAGATATTCTGCTAACAAGAAGTTAAAACAAAAGTTTTAAGCAAGCACATTGTGCAYTATGTTGTGCTTCAAGTGTGAGTTGGGGATGACGCTCAGCTACTACACCACATTTGAGCTCAACTCCCGTAAAAATGACGGCTGTGGCCGTTTTGAGGGTTTGCCGTAGCAGTCATCTTAAATCAGGTTGACCTAAAACATCAGTGATTACTTACTGAGAGTTTGATCAAAATGTGTTGAATGGTTAATGAGATATTTTTGCTAACAGACAAATTATGATTATAAGACTGTTAGGACAGTGGAGGGAGTCGTTGGCCCTTTAGTTAGCTAATGAGATTTACCTGAAACTCATAAACTGAACATTAGCTACATTTGTCTTGTTTTTTTTTTCATTTATTCATTCATTTTTATAATAAAACCAACATGAGTTCTATATACAATAAAATACAAATCATAAATGAAAGGTAGCAGAAGAAGAAAAAATCTTATATCTGCCCCTTTTCTAAAAAAAATAAAGCAAAACGTCTTCAAATAACAAAAATAAAACAAAAAAAGAAGAAAATAAATAAAGGTTAAACTGCTGGAACAGCTTGTATAAATACACATTATACCATTACATATTTCTCCAAGACTCTTAAATACACCCATTGATTTGACGTTTTTAACACCATCTTCCAGATTATTCCATAATTTTATTCCTTGGATTGAAGTACATTGTTCCTTCAAACTGGTTCGAAATATAGTTTTAACAAACGTCTCTGTCCCCTTGAGATTGTAACAACTCTCTCTTTTAACAGAGTGTAATTGGATGGTTGAAGGTAATGTGTTTTTATACATAACTGATAAAATACTACAGTCAACCAAATCATTGAACATGACTTCAGATGTGATTAAACATCACATCYTCGGCAAAAKGACACACACAACAAAAGGTTTTTATTCTCATGACATGAAGTGAACATTTGTTGGCACAGTTGTAGATACTGGTTGAAATAAAATCTTTTAACTTGTCTGTCTTGTGTTCTCTGTTGTCCTCAGGCTCTTTTAATGTGAACCTTCGACCTCCTGAGGTCCTCTTCAAAGTCATCTTCTGGCTCGGCTACTTCAACAGCTGCCTGAACCCCATCATCTACCCCTGCTACAGCCGCGAGTTCAAGCTGGCCTTCATTCGGATCCTCCGGTGCCAGTGTCACCAGCAGAAACGTCCCGGCTGGAGGACCTACAACTACCGCTCCTCCACCTTCCGCTCCTCCGGAAACTCGCGCAAAAGCTCCGCCGATCACACCTCCGGCTGGCTGAACGGAAGCCAGCGCACCCTGCCATCCTCCGCCAGTCCCAGCCCAAGCTACCTGAGCCAGGGCCTCCCTCCGTGTCCCGAGGGGGAGACGCTGTACATCTGGGGGGCCACGACCCCGACTCCGTCCACTCCCAACCTGCTGCCGGGCAGCCCGGCCGACTGCCAGCAGGCCGCTCTGAGACGGGAGGTCAGAGATAGGAAAGTGTCCGAGGAGACGGCTGGAGGCATTTTCTCCTTTTCTTTTGGGAACATTAAGGATAAAGGAGGAATCATCAACGACAAGATCAGCCCCGAAGACAAAGTGTGACTCAGTTCCTTTCCGTCACTCGCAGCATGGATGCAGGATTTACGTTTCTCTGCTACACAGTCCTCCATCCGTCAGCGGAGTTCATCAGTGTGAGGTGAAGACTGTCCCACGTGTATGTTTCACCAACTCTCCGTACCTGAGACAGAAAAATCTAACAAGTTGAAGACAGTTGATCAAAATCACTGAAACGCGAAAACTTTTCTGGAAAAAGTCGACGTCCCTTATTGTAAAAACATACAAAAAAAACAACTTGACTCTTGTAAACAAATTTTAAAAAAATGTGTGAAAATACAACTGATCACTTTTCTGGTGCAGTCACTCAATATTTTCATGGTATGTTGTGAAAATAAAGTATTATCTGTATTTTTCTGCTGTGCACACGTTCATCTGATATGTTGTTGGTATGAAACGTATAGAAATGTGAGGAAATAATAATAATAATAATAATAATAAAATGAAAACTTTGCTCAAAGGCTGCGTCCATCTTTTTATCCTCCTGTTTTATTGCAGATCTTTTCAGGTTTTATTGGAGGCTTAAGGGTTGAATCCTGAGTGAATCCACTGGTCACAGCTAAGTTATTAATCGTGGCTCCTGATAAATCCCACACGATCATTTACTTCTGCAGAGACTTTGTAGAACCACTTGGGGTTTTTGTTTTACTATAAACAGCAATCAGTTTATTTGTCTTAGAAATCAGCCTAATGCCTGAGACGGACTGTGTGTGCGTGTGTGTGTGTGTTTGTCTGTCGTTAAGCAGGCATATTTTGACATTAGACCACCCTTGTGAGGACATTTTGCTTGTTCCACACAAGGAAAAAAACTCTATTTTTGGGTCATGGTTAGGTTCAGGACTATGGTGTGAATTGAGGGGGATTAGGTTTAAGGATGAGGGTAAAGCCCTACATGTGTGMGTGTGCTCTAGCATTAGTTTCCTTGTAAGGCCCATTCTTCCAAACAATTCTACCTTGCGAGGGTCCACTGCTCCTGATTGCCGAGTTGTAGTTGCAGCAAACTTGCAGGCAAAATAGGACAAAAATGGATCAACAATCTATGGCTAAAACAGGAGGTGCAGAAACTAACAATGCAAATGTTTGCAGTGACCGCTTTATAACAGGTCAGGATTGAATAATTTAAATAAGAGATTCTTCCGCGAGCTCCACCTTGAGGGCCTCAAAAGAACAACAGTTTTTAACTTTGGACCGCAGAGGGTCGTGGGACCGCGATTTTGAATAAGGTGCAATACACTTTCTCACCACTAGTAGCGGTAGTGCACCACAAAATGCACCATAAAAGTTCAAAACATCATCAAATAGGCTACAGTTGCAGATACTGCTACATTTTAATTTCCACTTTATCAAATTATTTTTGTAGTTTATTTTTTAATATTTTAATGTATTTTAAAGAAACTTTAAACATGTCAAAAACTGTTAAATATATATGTATATTTTTGTGTTGATGAGCCTGAGTGGTCTGTTGACTGATCGTTTGTTCAAGTAATTGTTAAGGGCAGGTTACAATATAAAAATTTGTTTTTCATAATCACGTCTTGTGATTATTTGACAGGAGTTTTACTTTTAAGTGTACTTAAAATACACTTACTTGTGAGTGAATTTATTTTAGTTATACTGTAAATACAATAAAAATTAAACCAAGCTTTAGAATAATTATCATTTTGATCCGTACATTGGTAATATCTGACTGGGCCTTGTGCCACTTTATGTTCAATAAATTGGGCCCCGAGGTCAAAAAGGTTAAGAACCCCATTGTCAGATATTTTCCTGGACAGTTACTTGAATTTGGGTTTATAGAAGCTAAATAAGTTATTTGCAAGTAGATCCAAGCACATAGAAATAACAGGAGTTAACTTGTTGTTATTGTTAGCGATAGCATTCTTATCTACTTAAAATAGCACAACTCACCCGGGCAGAAACAAGTCAACAGACATTTAAAGTTTCTTTGGATCCTAAATGTTTGACCCAACCTGAAACAAAATAATTGTAGCTTCGAGGCTTTTGAAAGCTTTCATTTGGCTTGTCGTTGTAGCCTAGAACGAGGTCTGCAGCACCAGATAGTAGTTTATGATGATGTCCTCAACTCTGTGCAATGCTGAACAGGACCAAGCTAAACATTGAACAGGCTTTTATGGGATCAGGAGCTGCAGTGGTGCTGTGGAGCTCTTCATGGAGAACAATCTGCATCTTCAGAGACTGTGACTCTGCTGAAGACTCTTATCACATCTCCTCTGACCACAGCTGAATGTGAGAGGAGCTTCAACACTGAAGCCAATCCAGACTTTCCTCAGGTACAACATCACATCACTGCACTGACCATGCTCTATAGAGAAGAACCTTGTTAAAACATCACTGACTTTAACCAGAGTCATGAAGTAATTTGCTTCTCAGTAACAGAAGAGCAAAATTTATATACTAAAAATAAAAACACTACATGACATTGTAATGCTGTTTTATTATTGTCATTTGTTTAATAAATACACTGGCGTGATACAACTTAGTACATGTTTGATTGCTTTTTGGGATACGTCTATTTTGGAGTTGTAGCCCCCCTGGAGAAAAATCCACCAGCCGCCACTGCATGCTTCAACTCTAATTGTCAAGTGATGGTCCATGGGCCACTTGGCGTTCCAAGCAGTGCGGGTAAGCTAAAAATATTTAGTGACYTTTAACATCTATTATTATTTTTACACTTGTGGACAAAAGAAAAGACCATATTCATGTAAACAATAAAACAARAGAAATGAAACAGTGTGACGGCTCAGTAGTTAGCACCGACACCTCACAGCAAGAAAGTCCTGGGTTTGATTCCCTGGGGTCTTTCTGTGTGGAGTTTGCATGTCCTTTTCATGCTTTTGTGAGTTTTCTCCAGTTTTGCTCTTGTCAATTAATTTGTTTACCTTTAAGACATGTTAAGAAAAAATATGTTGAGTCGATTGGATGTGAATTAGGAAAGAATAAACATATATCTGCACTGCTAAAAAAAATGTAATCTCAAAGTAGTTTTGATCAAAGCTTCAAAGATCCACTGCAAAAGGACCAAAGAGCCTCAGGTTGCAGACCCCAGGGTTAGTGGTCAGGTTTAGGACCATGGGTGGTAAGGATTAAACTTTAGAAACGAATGGTAGTCGATATAAAGTTCTTGTAAAGAAGGAAAAACATACTGTGCGAGTGTGTGTGCTTGTGTGTGTGCATGTGTGTGTGTGTCCTTGTTTTTCCTACATCGTGGGGTCCAGTTTTAAGGAAAACGCAGCCTTGTGGGGTCCGGGTGCTCCTTGTGGGGCCCAAAGCCTGGGCCCTACAACTTCAGAGGCTGATTTTGGGTGTGAGGGTTGGGTTTAGGACCAAGGTGTGAATTGAGTTTAGATTAGTTTTAGGGTCAGGTAGGTACCTGTGAGGTTAGCCTTAGGGTTTGTGGTCAGGGTTAGGATATAAAATTACCATAAAATGAATGGAAGTCAATGGACGGGCCCCACAAGGATATAAAAACAAGTTTGTGTGTGTGTGTGTGTGTGTGTGTGTACATATGTTTTTGCTAAATGGTTGGGACAATTTTTTACCATTTTCCTGGTACACACAGCCTGGAGAGGACCCACTGCTCCTTATAAGAACAAAAGTCAATCCCCATTGGGGGAAATACCATTGGTGGGTCAGGGGTTTGGTTTAGGACTAACATGTGAATTGAGTTTAGGTTAGGGTTAGGTTTAGGGTCTGAACATAGTGCTTTATCAAGTCCCTCCAGACCCCAAAGCACTTTACTCTTCAGTCATTCACACACTGATGAGGCAAGGCTGCCATGCACCGGCACCACCATCTGCAGGCAAGACCAGGGAAGTGTCTTGCCCAAGGACACAATGACTGAGATGYCTGGAACGGGGGATTGAACCAGCAACCTTCTGGTTACAGGATGACTCCTCTAASTCCACCACAACCACACAGGTGAGGTTAGGTCTAGAGYAAGGGATCAGGGTTYGGCTAAAGAAATGTCCAATAAATGAATGGAAGTCAATGCAAAGTCCCCACAAYGATAGAAGAATAAATGCATGTGTATGTGCATCATTGGTCACATGAAAACACTTGCAGCCACATGCTAAATTATAMCTGTAGCAAAGAAAGGGTTCTGGGCAGCTTACACCACCACTCGTGCTCAGGCTTGCAGGCTGAGTCACGTCAGAGCTGCCTGAAAATCCTGATCTTTGTAGGAGCGTGGAGTCGCTGCAGGGTGAAAGGATGGGACATGTGTCCTGGGGGGAAAAAAATGTGTGTGTTTGTGGAGGGGGTTGCATCATACYAGGTAGAGAAGAGGAAGAGGCAGGACCAGAAGCTTCTGCCACTCCTCTTCAGACTCATAACCTCCTTCCCCGTGTCATCTCTTCCCTCTTCTCACCATGTCATTCGCTGGAACATATGAGCTGGAGAGTCAGGAGAACTATGAGGAGTTTCTGGAAGCAATCGGTACCAGGATTTTATTATCCTCACGTTTGAATTTATCATAATTTTCTTAAGTATTGCTGTATTATCCTAACTTCAAGCCTCATATTCATCGTTGTAGATTTCCTCAAGGCTAAAACAGATCACAAAGTGGTGACTGAGGTGACTCAGGATGGGGACAACTTCACCTGGACTCAAAGCATCCCCGGCTGGACCTGGACTAGTAAGTTCACCGTTGGTCAGGAGAATGAGCTGGTGTCGATGAAAGGCCAGAAATTCAAGGTGAGTTAAACTCGGCTCGCTGAAGACAACCATCACTTGTCCTCTTCTTTTTATGATCTTTTGCTTCTTGCAGGCTGTGGTGACTAAAGAAGARGGGAAGGTTTTACTCCAGTTTCCAGAGTACCACTTCACAGCACAGATGGTGGACGATAAGCTCGTCATGGTGAGTGAATGACTCCTTCCTTCCATCAGGCGGAATAAAATGAAACTGTGATCAGTAACAGAGTTGTGGTTTTTGGTCAAATGATCCCAGATGATCTTTGCTTCTCTTTTTTTTTCCCTGCTCTGTTTCGGTCAGACTTGTGTAACTCCGGGACAAAAGGGCGTGACTTTCAAAAGAGTTTTCAAGAGGGTCTAAAGCTGTGAGACTCAACCTGTTTGGTGGGAAAACACAAGCATTGCTTTACGCTCCGGAACCAGAAAAGTAAATAAGTCCACACTGAAGTGAAAGTGGAAAAGGCTTCCTGCACACAAGACTGAATCAGATGGTTGGTGGTTTTTGGGTGTGCCTGCAGAAATGATGACGTTACGCAACGTTCTTTAGTTTGACAGCTGTTCCGGATTTAACGACTAATCGTACAAAAATCACGTTGAGTTTGGTCAAAATAGAATCAAACAGTGATTTTTCTTGACTTTTATCTGAYCTTAATCATGAAATGTGTGAAATTGATTTGATTTCCCCAAAGTTTTCATGAATAAAGCAAGTATTGATGCTCCTGTCAGTGTTGTTTGTTTGTGATCACCAAAAACTCRAGATCTTTCAATTAAAACATGTAAAACTCAAGGCCTGCGGACCAAACACAGCACAAGAGATCTTCAAAGGTGTCTTTAAATAAGCATATGTTGCTTTAAAGCCAGCATTGACCGTAAACTACATCTCCCATAATGCATGTTGATTATTTTACACGCAAACTGACGGCATCCCACCACTAGATGGAGGTGCGCAGGGATCAAAAGTAGCCCGCAGCTGGTGAAATTCYTTGCCAGCTACTTCAGTGTTTATTCAGAGCATGTGTTAAAACACTGTTTCTGTGCATAAAATACCACATAGAGCTCAGCTATTGTTTGGTAGCGGGGTTTAGCCGTAGCAACAAGASAAGAAARGTAATGTTTTGTGTTTAGTCTAAGTTATTTTCAACAGGCCCCCTTTTGGCAACCAWAATGCTCTTGTGGCCCTTGGTGAAAARGAGTCTGACYCCSCTGAATTAAAAGCTTTTCATTCCTGCAATGAATGCATATCACCTGCCACATCCTTTCATGACAAAGTTTCAAACACATGTCCTCTTATAACAAGAAATTGAGTCCATCTCATYTAATTTTGACAGATTTTCTAGTTTGGAATGTGTGTTTGGAATATTTTACATCAAATTTCAATATTCCTTACAAATTTGTCGGATTCAGTTCCTGTGTTTGCAAAATGAGCAAACATGAGGTGCAGAACAGGTTAACGCTGAAAAGTTTTTGTATGCAGATTTTCAACTGGTCAGCAGGCTTTTTTTTTTGTTTCAATTACTTGAAATATTTATTCAAGAGTTCCTTTTTGAATAAATGCATAAAAATTACTCTGAACTCAATAATCTCTTATTTATATGCTGCAGTGGATGCAGAAAAAAATGTCTGCAGAGAAAATATTCAACATTTGTGACGTGTGGAGTACTCTTTGTGTTTGTGCAGAAAGACTGGGCTGCTGTCAGATCTACTGTTGAAACAGCTTCTTATTTCTTCATTTTATCTTCTGCACAGTCTGTATATAATATAACAAAAATAATAATATAATAACAAAAACATAATAACAAAAACAGGACAAAGACCAGAAATGCTGCCAACTTCTCTGCAGTTAAGATTAAAGCCTATAAGATGGACTGAGGACATAAAAATTACTGTATCTGTCTGACAAACTGAAAATTTTTTATTTGAATACAGAACAGATTTTGCACAGATGCATTTTCCCACTGCTGCCACCAGGAGGCGCCACTGTTTTTTTTTTTTTTTACAAAACAGAAGCTTTCAGTTGCAGCGTAAAGTGAGTTTGTCATTCTTCTGCTTTTTTATAAAAGAAATTATGTTTTTTTAGAAAATACAAGAAGAAAGAGGGTAAACAGATGGACATGCACCAGTTCTCCTTTTTTTCACTTCACCGATTTACTTTTGTAGAAGTACCTTTCATAAATTCCAAAACAATTAAAATATGCATTGAAAACATGAAATAAATCARATAAAGACTGTCTTGGACTATATCAAAGAAAGCAGTTTGAAAGAGTTTTACTCCAAACTTACTGATATATAGTTCTGAAGGGGTACGCACTCATTGTAAACAAACCATTTGGAAGCTTGAGTCACGTGACGGACCTAAAATCTGGAATCTGTGTAAAGAAACAAACATGGCAAAATTAGAATCTTGGCAYCATTTAGGTGGAAATATAAAAGTGAATCTGCTGTTGGTTGCTGCTGGTTATGTTTTTGTAAAAAGTATGTTTATCATACTCATTTAAATTACACCTTGGAAAAAAATCAATTAGAAAAAAATCAGAGTTAWAATAAAAAGCATGCTTACTGCTTATTTAGTAAGAAACATTACAGCATCCTCCACTTTGACTCCAGCCTTCATCATATAGATTTTTACTTCACTAAATGTTTAAACATGTCAATATTTAAGTTCTGAAACAATACAAATTAAAGGTTGTATTTAACTGTAAAACAAATCATACCTGCAAGATGAATATTCCCTGCACCACCCTCCAGTGTTTGTTTTTTCCTGGAGGAGACATTCAAAGGAAGCCAGCAGCCTTCGTCTTTATCTCTGAATACAAAAGCTTCCAGCAGGATGGCCTGAAGCAAGATCTGCCTCCTCTGTTCTGTGCCTGCGTCCACTGAACACCGAACATCTGGAAAATACCCCTCAGTCTGCTCAGGATTTAGTTCCTTCAGATCTTAATCAGCTCACCTTGTGCTGATGTGATCAGAGAGGTGTGCAGGCTTGTGTCTCAGATGTGGTAACATTCTGAGACGTGCAAACATTGAGCCACAGATGAGGCTTTTTATTTCCCAACGTTCCAGGAAAAATCAGAGTTGGGGATTTAGTTGTTTGTTTTTTGTTGTTAAAGTTGATTTTTTTTTTCTTGTGACCTGAAAACTGGGAAGTTTTTTCCCCTTTTTACTACAGAAAGTCTTAAGATTCAGCTTCTCATTCTCAAGAGAGATAAATACATTTTTAAAAGGCACATCCTTGTAACAGATCAATAAAACCACCACAGAAAGACTTTTACAGGAAAAAACCAAACAGAACTAGAGATATTACATTACTTTGCAAATTCCTGCCTAAAGACAAAAAGTAGCAAAAGATTGGAATCTAGGAGTAGCAAAACATTAACTGAAAGTGGCTAAAACTTAGCTAAAAGCAGCAAAATATTAGCTAAAATGTAAAAGTAAAGTAGAAAAATTATAAATATAAAGAAAAATGTTACCTATAGGCTCAAAATAACAAAATTTGATCTAAAAGTAGTAAACGTTTAGCTAAAAGCAGAGGAGGGTAAAGTATCCAAGTTGTACTCAAGAGAAGCACTACTTCAACGTACAGTGGGTAAAATAAGTATTGAACACGTCACCA